ATAAAAAAGGAGGAAAGAATCCCTCAAAACAACAACAAAATAGCTGTGCCTTGGATGCAACCGTGGCACATGGTGGTGCTTTGCCAACAGTGCATACGGAAATGCATACTCTGCTTGGCAAATAAAAATATTTCTGCCAAACACTGAGATCGTCCCAGAATTATATAAAGTGAAGAAATACTTCTGCAGCTGTGAGATGACCTCCCTGCTTGTTGCTAAAGAGAATGGGGACGAAAGTGTGTTCTGGGTCCTTCGTGCACACGATCCCTGACCTCCTGTACCTGGTAATCTGGTAACTGCCTGCCTGCCGACACTCCAGGCTCTCTTTAAAAATACTCCTGCTTTTCCTATCTCAGCTCACTGTGAGTTCGAGACCGTAGTCTTGACCTTCAAAGCAAAAAGCTTAAGGAATTTAGTTGTAATTTTTATAAGATAAGAAAACATATTTGGGCCTTTAAAATACTTTAGCTTCAATATTTTAAGTCCAGCTATAGTCAAATAGATTATAGAATTTTATTTTTAGTGCCTTTATAACTTATGGAGGAGTCACAGAGGGGAAAAAAACAGTTTTCATCCTTTTAGACCAAATTTTCTTTTCTCCTGGGCTCTCTTTCTCCCAGTGAAGTGAAGGCACATTATTCAGCAGCTCTGCGGAAAGCTATCAAGGTGATGTCTTGTCACTCTGCCCCTGCGTCTTTGAGAACTTGGTAGAGGGACAGAAGCATCTCATGTAACCGGAGCAAGTGGAGACTAAACCCCAGCAGAGCCTGTGTTTGGCTTGGAATTGAAGTCAGTCATGGAGCTGATGTCACACTGACGACTGTGCACGGGCAGCGACCCCAGAAGAGTGTTTTCTGTTTGCAGTATGCTGTTCAGCCCCTGTTCAGGGAAATTTTGCGGGTCAACCAGGGGCTCCTGTGTGGCCTTGCTAAGGGACAGTGACAATCACTTGATTGCTATCTGTTTTATTGCCTGTTGAATTACACTCTTCATCAGCTGTGTGGCTCAGTGCTCTTCCAGGCTGTGAACCACGTAACACCCTCGTGAGGGGTCAGTGCAGTCAGGACTGACAGCCTCACACGTCTACCAGTTTGGAACCAGCAGCTGCGTCCGGCCACCCAGCAAGGGAAGATGTGATAGCAAGTGAGCTGATGAGTGCAGGTTAGCCTTCCAAAGAGTTCGCTTTTTGTCTTTCCAAAGAAAGTTAGTGTGTGGGTTTCCTATTTAAGAGAAGTGTATTGAGTCTCTTTTAGATCCCATTGGCGCCCTATGCACTGTGGAAACTAATACTGAGTGAAGGAGAAGGTTACAGTGATGCATTAAGATGCTGTGTTCACAGGGAGAAGAGGGCCCAGAAGTCCTTAGGAGTACCTCGTCCCGAGAAGGGGTGGTCTCTCTTCCAGGAGACTGGGGATGTGTGCTTAGAGGAGGTCGCTTTGGCATGGGTATGAATGATAGGTAGAGTTCATTGTTAGAGATGGGACAGAAAGAAGAGAGGGACATTTCCATAAATAAAGTGAAAGTGTGGAGGATGTATGTATATATTTGGTGAATCACCAGCTAATTTAGAAGTGTGGGAACATGTATAGCATCAGTAAAAACTTTAATTGCTTGAGACCAGATGGGGGAAGGCTTAGATGACAAGCTAAAGGATGTGTACTGTGTAGGTAGTGGTCACTGGGGAATCTATGGAGGATATCGGAAAGACTGACATGAGCAAGTCTGAGGGGAAATTCTAATTTTGTCTGATTATAGTTCAGGTGAAGATTGGAAAGAAAAAACCTTGGAGGTGTGAAGACTCATTTGCAAGGGTCTGGTGGTGGTATCCTGAGAATGCTTCGTGGGAATGAGTTCTGGGAAGGATACAGGAGCGGGAGGGGGTGGAGGAAGTAAGGATGGGACTTGGTGTCTTGTGCACATGATCATCGCAGAATAAAGAGGAGACAGGTTCTCCAGAAATGCACAAGGAAGAGCTACCAGAGGTAGGAAGTCACGGGAAGTAGGAATCACAGTGTGAGGTGCCAGTGGAGCCTTTGGCTGGACGTTCCTGGCAGGTAGTTAGCAAGGATGGGCGGGCACTCAGGAAGGTCACTGGGGCGGGGAAGCACAATTGAGGGTGACAGGATTGGGCGACAATTCATCTGACAGCAGGAGTTGGAATGAGGAGTGTCAGGATTTTAGAAGAATAATAGTTGGGACGTGGGAAGTAACAATGTGAACATCCCAGAGGAAAATGCTACACAACCTTGTAATAAATTAGACCTGTAGGTGACAGAAATAAAGGTAATGATGATCCTGGGTGGCAGTGGAGTTATAACGAAAGGGAGAAGTCATGGTGGATGTGGGGGAGCTTGGAGGCCTGCTGATGTGGGGGTAGATTGATGGGTAGGGAATGGTGAGAGGGATGAGTTCTATTTGTATGTTTAAACAAGAGGCCTGAAGAAGAGTTAAATGCTGTATTTAATAAGCTGTCAAATATTTGCAAGAGAGCGTTTGGGACCAGAATAGCCTTGGGGCAGTTAAGGAGAATGAGGAACTGACCGATTCGGTAAAAGCAGAAGATGCAAGAACAGTACAGGGAGCTTGGAAGCTAAAGTAAAAGAGAAGCCGTGAAGGATCTCTTGGATTTTGTTGAAGGATTCTTGGTTATAACTGCAGGAAAATGAAGGACATACAAGAGAAGCTCTGGAAAGAGTGTCAAAAAGAAAGTAATAGCAATAGTGTCAAGTAAGATGGACGGATGAAGGGAGATGAGAACTGTGAAAGTCACTGCATTAGCTCCGGGTGCTGGGGGCTAATGTTTCACCGGAACAGGCAGAAGAACGGAGGGGGCAGGTGTGGGAAGTAGGCCGTGGGAGCAGCCTCGTCCTTTCGTGTCATTCTTTCAACAGCTGAGGCCGCACTGTGGGTGCATGATGTTGGATTAACTGCGATTTCTCTTCCTCTGCAGTTTGAGTTTTTCTTCAATCTTTCTCTATTAAATCTTCAAATCTTTGTTCTTCACGGTCTTGACTCCTTTCATAGACCCATCTTCAGAGTGTCCTGAATATAGTAGTTCTAGAAGTCCATAGACTTCTAACTTTTCAAACCCAATTCTCAATCTATGTATCAGACTTGAATTCAAAACCAAGAAGTTCCCCTAAGAGACCTCAACTAGGGGGTGCAATTCTGGGAGGTGTTATTTTGGGAGCCTTTTCCTACCTCAGTAGCAGTACTTTCTTGGCCCAATCTGCTGCTTTGATGTCATTTAAGGCTGAGATCCAGCCCTGTTACTTATGTTTCAGTTTTGAGGGTGCAAGAAGTAAGATTGGGGGCCTCAAAGACTATTAGGTCCTCACGAAATACTGATAACCTAGAGAGGCCCCTGGCAGCTGAAAGGGCAAAAAAAAAAAAATCCTTGTCTTGTGAGAAAAGTTTTGTTCCTAGTTCTTTTCTCATTTGGTTTTCCCCTTCGCCTACAGCTGAAGCCATAAACAACAGATAAGTCTTTGCGGAGGCCGCGGACTTCTGTGACGTGTAATCGCATGGTACAGTCCAGTCCTCATTTCTAATCTTGTTCTGAAGGAGACCAACTCAGGATGGCAAGAAGAGCCCACCACTTTTCCACTCCCCAATTCCTGGGCCCTCTTCCCACCCTGTATTCATAGTTGTCGGCAGACATTGCTTTGCACACTCAGCCAGAGAGGCCAGACCTCCAGTGGGAGGAAGTCCTTGCAGGACCACCGCAGCCCAAGTCGGAGCTTTGAGAGGGACGAGAGGGCCTTAGCGAGGGCTGCAGTTCTGAATTCCCCAGGATCGCAGCTCTGGCAGCTTTGTGTCCAAGGACAGAGATGCAAGAGGAAAGTGAAGATCTTCTAGTGACGGGGCAGGCAAGGGAGCCAGAGCCCTAACCCTTCCTTGTGTCTTTTGCCCTTTGTATGAATTGTAATTGAGTTGAATTGAATTGTTATAGTAGCCTGAGAGTGGGTAGGTCCTATGTCCATTTTACAGATGAACTAGTTGAAGTTTGCAAATGTAGGACATTGTAGGTCCCATTGCAGACAAGTTGACGAGCCAGGATCGGAACTGGTCTTGCCTGGGACTCAGATGTCCTTTCTCCACACCACGTCACACACTTAAATGCAGACAGTTTATCCTGGTATATCTGAAAATCCTGGACTGCCTGGATATTTCCTTGATTCTTTTCCTCACTTTTTTTTTGGTTGGGGGGGTCATTCTTTTGGTTGACATACTACTGTCCACCCCAGGAGACGAAGAGGGTCTGTTTGCCTCCAAAGCAAGAGGGTCTGTGCCGACGTCACTGGGTGGGCCGTGGGTGCCCATCCGCCGCATTCCTGCCGTCTGGAGGCAAGCGGAGCACAGCTGTGGCTGTGAGGCCCGAGTGCAGCTGTAGTCACCACCAGTTGACACCGGGGCACTTGCTGTCCTGGTCCCATTATGTGAGCGTGCCCAGCTCCAGTTGCTGCGTGATTGGCATTTGTCAGAGCCAAGGTTATGGCAAGAATTCTTTGCACTCTGTAGGAAAAGTGTCACAGTACCTCGTAGGGCATTTGCCACGAGTTCTCACAAAGCTATGCCGAATCCACAGTTGTTTGCACACAGCCCGACGGCTGCTTGCCTGCCACGCGTGCTTCTGAGGAATTCTGCTTGTCACTTGGCCCTGGCAGCTTCACTGCTGCTGGGATCTCTGATGGAAACTGACTCCATCCCGATTTCAATGCAGCTAACTTACAAATGATGTATATTTTGTTCAACTAATAATATTAAGTATAGAAAAAAGTACCTCCCAGGTAATAAATCATCAGTATATTTGGTGGTGACGGCTAGTAGATTATCGCCTCGAGAAAAGCAACAGACTCATTGAAAACAACTAAGAATAGCAAGTGGAAAGTCTCCTAACTTAGACATCTTTTTACCAGCCTTCTTCTCCTTTTTTTAAAACTTAAAATGATGAAATGAAACTAACAGTATTTCCGTTTTTTTTTTTTGCCATTTTGCAGAAAAAACCGCTGTCTGCAATAATAAAGGAAGTCTGTGACGGGTAAGTGTTGTTACTCGGGACTCGTTGGAGGTGTTTACATTTCACAACTTGAGAGGCGACTACAGTGTTTCCCAGGTAGTTGTCAGGGCCCATTCCCAAGTCACCCCTGACCTGCCCCAAGACACCAGGAGTTGCTGTTTAAGGTTTGCATGCCCCTTTCCACCAAAAAAAAAAATATATTGGTGCCCTCAAGGCGGAGAAAGTGTGAACTGGCAGGTGTGTGCACACCAGGAGGGGCTTTATTTATTTTGAGGAAAAGTGGTGTTCATTCACCCTCCTCAGCAGGGCACCGTCTAAAGTTCCTGAGGTTGAATGCTCACTTCGTTTGGTGTGAATTGGGGGGACCACTCCAGTCCCCATTGAAGATGAAATAGTTTAAAAGACAAGTCAGTGGGTCACTCTGCTGCCACATGAACATCACGACAACGGTGGCTTTCCCACTTCTCCTTGTCCAGGCAAATGGAAGCTGCAATTAAAAAAAAATTTTTTTTTAAAGCGGAACTGTGACTAGAGGATTACTTGGAATTTAAGACCTGGGAGACTTGACTAGAATGTTCTAGTATGCAGCAAGCATAGTGCTTGGGGGTTGGAGAGCGCAGAGACAATTATGGAAAATTTAAATTTATTCTTTGCCTTGGTTTTCCCTCTGTGCTCTACTCCTTTAAAATAGGGAGGAATGTAACTTTATACCACCCCTGCCCCAAAGCCATGAAGATGAAATAAATGCTTACATGTGAGCAATAAGACCTAGGAATAAGATCTTGGAATAAGACCTAGAAAATGGAAATAATGATCTTAGGGTAAAAGGTGGGCTAATATTTTGGTTTTGAGACTACATTGTGGGGTTTGTTGAGTACTGGCCCAGTTCCAAACACAGAATGCTTAATTATCTAACTCGATCAAGCCGTGAACATGGAAATGACCATTTCCTGCTTTTCTGACCAGTCTCTGCTTCTATTTTAAGGTGGTCCCTTGCCAACCACGAGTACTACGCCCTGCAGCATGCCGACAGTTCCAACTTCTACATCACCGAAAAGGTAGGCCACCCCACGACTTCATCTGGGGCACTTGCCCTTAAGGAGGTTGAAATGTGACTGACGTGCCATCTGCCCAGGACGTCACATGCTGGCCTGTTTTGCATCGTCCCTCCATGGAAGTGGAGTTTGCAAATGAAGACCCGTGGCGTCAGTGGCAACCAGGCGGCACTTAGCCCACCCAGGAGTGAAGACCAGACACGTGTCTGGGTCCTCATTCAGCAACTGCACTTGCCTTCCAACAGCAGATTTTCTAATTATCTCTCTCACTGCTTGGTTAAAGCGGTGAGATCTAGCACTTAATGGCAATCTAGCTTCCTTTTTCAGACATTTCCCCGACCCCTCCACCCAGAGCAATGTCTAAGTCCTCTTAAAGTTGTTGAAATAATGACAAGAAATCTTTTCACAGGTGGCATTGGGCAGGCACTGAGCATTCTTTGGTTTTGGGGGATCCTGCTTTCTTCTTGGGTGACTTTTCTGGGAAGCTTGGAGGAGGAGGAGGAAGTTGGGGAGACTGTGGGGACCCTGGAAGCAAAGGGGGATCATTGTCTTAGAGTTCCCTGATCAGAGAAGGGAAAACAAACATTTATGCGGAACCTCCCATATGCCAGGAAGCGGACCGACAGGCACTTGAACATCTGTTTGTTGGTTTCTTTCCAGGACTAACCTGTGATATGAATAATACTGACTTTGGGGGTGACAGATAAGACACTGAATCCTAAGGGTCCAATGGCTTGGTCAGAAACACGGGGGCAGTGAATGAGAGGGTCAGGAAGCAAATCCAGATCTTTGGGCTTTGTCACTCTTCCTCTGGGGGATTTCTAGAGGAGTTGAGTGTTCAGCTCGGTTTTATGGAGCAGTCACCGCAATGCAGAGGAGCCACTCCTAGCCTCATGCAACTTGCAGCCTGGCAGAGTTGGTCAGGGAGGGACAGACAGCCCTGTGAACAGTTTCCATCACAGGGAGGGGTCAGTGCAGAGACAGAGGTAAATACAGAATGCCCTGGGGGCAGGGGGAATGAGACAGCTGCAGGCTGAGTTGCTCCCAAGTTTATCCTGGAATCAGGAGTCAGGTGGTGTGGAAGATGGATGCAGGAACATGGGTCTCGTGCCCACAGTGACTGCTCACTCTGCCTTGAGGAGTATGTGTGTGGGGGTGGGGGACCTTAAGTCTAGTCCGCAGGGAAAATAGCCACAGCCTAGAAATGCTTCCAGAAATTGCTTGGTTCTTCCCCACTGAACTAGCATTTTCATAGCCCATCGTGTCTTCCATGTAACCTGGATAGCCAGCATGCTAGAGTTAACGAGAGGACCAGGTTTCCTGGCCCAGGTTGTTCATCTCACTTGTTTGTTTGTTTTTTAATTCATTCCACACTTAGTTTTCTGTCCTTATTGTCTCCTTGCGCATTTTCTTAATATTTTCATTTATTTTATCCTATCTGTATGTGATCTGCATGCTAGTCTTTGGAAGATTAAAGAGGAAGTGAAGTTCAGTGGTAGCAGTTAAATGTACTGCTGTCGATATCCCGAAGCACAAGGCTGTCTCATTTCAACTCGGTTCGCCTTTGAAAGGCAACTAAAATATTGTGGCTTCTGGGGTATTACTGGGAACGATTGGATGGTTTTCTACCACAGTGTTCCCTCACCTATCACAGGAGTTACATTCCAGAGACCCCCGCGAGAGGTGAAAATCCGCGAAGTAGCGGCGTTATATTTATGTTATTATTTATATATATTTTAAGGCTTTATAAACCCTTCCCACACTCCTATAAACCTTTCCCACTCTCTTATTAACCTTTCCCACATTCTTATAACCACTTTATATGCTCTTAAACACTTCCTACCTTCTTAAAACCTACATATTTTAACAACATATAAAATTCTCAATGGGTACTCACCAGTGAAGTATACAATCTTCCCTTGCTATATTGCGGTTCACTATATTGAAGCCACAAGAAGTGAACTGCAATATAGCAAGGGATGACTGTATTAGAGTGATAATATAAAAAAGTGTAAAAATTATTAAGTGGTAAAATTATAGGATGCTAGAAGTTATAATAGGGGTTTTCAGACATCGCCAATTGATGGAGAGTGAAATAAACTTAGTAAGTTGTGAGGGTATTACAAATTGGAATATAATAAATAGAGTAAGTCAGAGTGTATCACTTGTGTGGTTTGTGAAGTACTAGTGTTATATGCATATATATAACGCATGTGTTTGTGCAGGATTTTTACCCTGGGTGGAGGTCCAAAAGCCACTGAGTCACCAATAGCATGCCCTGTCTTTGGCCACCATTGTCAGGAGATTCCATTGTCAGGATTCTTAGGTCAGACTAGAGAGCCTAAGCACCGCAGAGAGGACCTTTTAAAACAGTTTTAGACCCTGGCCCCAGCGACTCGGCTTGAGCAGCCCTGGATACGGCCCAGGGTCGCATTTGAAGAGCCCTTCTGGAACTTGGAGGAGGACACCTGGGACCCCTTGGAGGACCACTCCTCCGGGGCTACTGCTCTGAAGGGACGGGCTCCGTGTGCAGCAGGCACTGTGCACCGTGCACAGTTAGGCTCTGAGATTGACTCAGGAGAGTGTGTGCGTGGCTGATTCTTGGAATCATTAAAAAATTTGTATGATATTTATGCTTTTCTCAGGAAAATTAGTAGAGACTCAGAATATCGAAAGTACTTAGAACAGTGGGAACACGATCATTTTATTGGGCATCCTTGTCATTGTCTGGGAACTCTTGTTTTGCCTGAGGACATTCTTCACGTTGAGTTCAAAAGGGACCGTCCCCTGAGTCTGCCCTCCATTCTGTCCCTCCTCGGTGAGCAGTAGCAGGGATCATTCTCTCACTAGGAGCTGGGGCAATGAGGAGACTCGTCTTCCTGATCAGAGCCTTTTGTTCGTAAATATGATGTCATGCCTCTTCTCTCATGGCTGTGTGTGTGGACAACACAGGACTCAACACACACAGGGCGGTAGAGGGACCTCAAACCCGAGGTCCGCCACAGCCCACCTGGGCTGCCTTTAGTCTGCCGTGAGGTCTGTCTAGCTCCTTGCAAGTATTCCTAAAATTAGAGGCCATTTCCCCCTGTTTAAAGTAATGTATTTAGCATCATCTGGGTTACTTACAGCCCAGTGAGTTGTTAGGTAATATTTGCATCACCATGGTAACTGGTGACTAATTTTTGAAACCTGTGCATGTTCTTAGTTACTGATTCTCCTTCGTGTACGAGGTGGTCTCCCCACCGTGGCCAGAGATAAAATAGGACCTGTCATTTTAGAGGAGGAGAGCGCTCCAGGCCGGGCAAGCGAACACATTTGGGGACGGATGGATGGACACTGGAGTTTCTCAGGGAGGCACCTCCCTGCTCCCCTCACGTTATCCAGGCCCATTTTCTGTAACAGCCTTCATTTGCTTATGGGGTCATTATCTTCATATTTTCAGTGTGGTGGGAAATGTAGTGGGGCTGAGCAGTGCTAAGCAGAATGCCTTAGAGAAAGTTAAGGTCCAGCTGTTTGAAAGTTCAAATTCTGCCCCAGAAACTTTTATATTACAGGGTGATGTCTGGGAGAGGGGAGGAGAGAGAATGAAAAGTCACCGGTGTATTTTTTAGCTTTATTGAGGTATAATTGACAAATATGTAAAATTGTAAGATATTAAGTGCACATCATGGTAGTTACATATATGTATACATGGTGAAAGGATTCTCCCGTCTACTTAATTAACCCATCTGTCACCTCGCCTACTTTTACTTGGTGAGAACATTGGAGTTCCACTTTCTCAGCAGATTTCAGCTGTGGAATACACTGGTATTGACTGTAATCACCGTATTTTACATTGGGTGCTCAGTCCTCATCCGCCTTGTAGCTGAAGTTTGTGCCATTTCCCCCAGCCTCCTTCTCTTTGCCCCAGGCCCTCAGCCCCTGGAAACCACTTTTCTACTCTGTTTCTGTGTCTGACTTCTTTTTCAAGACTCCGCATAGAAGTGATAGATGTTGTATTCGCCTTTCTCTTGTCTGACTTATCTCACTTGGCATAATGCCCTCCAGGCTCATCCATGTGGTTGCAAATGGCAGGAGTTCCTTCTTTCTCATGGCTGAATGATATTCCATTGTGTATCTTCAGACCACATTTTCTCATTCATCTACTGACAGACACTTGGCGATTGTAAATGCTCAATGAGCACCGTAGTGCATGTATCTCTTCGATAACTTGTTTGTATTTCCTTTGCACATATACCCAGAAAGCGGGATTTCTGGATTATTACACGAGTTCTGTTTATGGTTTTATGAAGAACTTTCATACTGTTTTCCATCGCGGCTGCACCAATTTACATTCCCATCAATCAGTGTATGAGAATTCTCTTCTTTTCTACATCCTTGCCATGCTAACACCCCCCCCCCCCACTTTCTTTGGTAATAGCCATTCTCACAGGTATAGGATGAACTTTCATTGTGGATCTAATCTGCATTTTCCTGATTATTAATGATGTTGAGCATCTTCTCATGTCTCATTGGCCATCTGTGTGTCTTCTTTGGAAAAATGTCGGTGTAGCTCTTCGGTCCATTTTTAAATTGGAATGTTTGGTGTTTTGATATTGGATTGTGTGAGTTCTTTCTGTATGTTGAATGTTAACCCCTTATCAGATGTATGATTTGTAAATACTCTCTCCCATTCTGTTGCTTGCTTTTTCATTCTGTCAGTGTTTTCCTCTGCTGTATAGAAGGTTTTTACTTTGACGTGGTCTCACTTGTTGATTTGTGTGAACTGTGTGTACACTTTAGATGGTCCAGTGGAATGTGCCTTCTGAAAAGGAGTGATAAGCATTCAAGTTCATTATCTTCATTCCAGTCTCAGGATGCTGGTATCATTATCTCCATTTTACCTTGAGGAACAGGATGGCCAGAGCAATGAGGCAACAGTGTATTCAGGCCGTTCGGGGGACAGGGGTCAGGCCAGGGCTTGGACCTAGGTGGGGACTTGGACCCAGGCGGGTCCGATTCCA